AAAACCTGTGAGATACTGCAAAAGCAGTACTAAGAGGGAAGTTTATTGCAATAAATTCTCACATCAAAAGAATAGAAAGATTTCAAATAAACAACATAACACCATACCTCAAAGAACAAGAAAATCAAGAACAATTCAATCCCAAAATTAGTACATAGAAAGAAATAATTAAGATCAGAGCAGAACTAAATGAAATAGAGACCCAAAAAATGATACAAAAGATCAATGAAACAAAAGGTTGGTATTTTGAGAAGAGTAACAAAATAGGCAAACAATTAGCTAGGGTAACTAAAAAAAGAGGAGAGAAGACCCAAATAACAAAAATCAGAAATGAAAAAGGAGACATTACAACCAATACCACAGAAATACAAAGAATCATTACAGACTATTATAAACAACTATAGGCCAACAATTTGAAAACCTGGGAGAAATAAATAAATTTCTCAACACATACAAACTACCAAGATTGAACCAAGAAGACACAAAAAACCTGAACAGACCAATAACAAGCAATGACACTGAAGCAGTAATCAGCAGTCTCCCAACAAAGAAAAGCCCAGGACTAGACAGCTTTACTGCTGAATTCTACGAAACCTTTAAAGATGAATTAATACCAATCATTTCCAAATTTCCAAAAAATTGAAACAGAGGCCATTCTCGCAAACTCATTCTATGAGGCCAGCATCAACCTGATATCAAAACCAGACAAAGATAAGTAAAAAGAAAACAAATAAAAAAGAAAACTAAAGGCCAATATCTTTGATTAACATAGAAGCAAAAATCCTCAGCAAAATATTAGCAAACAGAATATAGGAACACATCAAAAAAATTATACACCATCATCAACTGGGACTCATCCCAGAGAGTCAAGGATGGCTAAACATACACAAGTCAATAAATGTGATACACCACATCAATAAAATCAAGGACAAAATCCATATGATTATCTCAATTGTTGCAGAAAAAGCAACTGACAAAATTCAACATCGTTTCACGATAAAGACTCTCAGCAAATTACGTATAGAAGGAAAATATCTCAACACAATAAAAGCTATATATGACAAGCCCATCACAAAGATCATCCTACATGGGGAAAAGTTGAAAGCCTTTCCCTTAAGAACAGGAACAATACAAGGATAACCACTCTCACCACTCCTATTTAATATAGTATTAGAGATACTAGCCAGAGCAAGCAGGCACGAGAAAGAAATAAAGGGCATCCAGATGGGAGAAGACAAAGTCGAACTCTCCCTGTTTGAAGATAACATGATCATATATAGAGAAAAACCTAAAGACTCTACCAAAAAACTCTTAGAGCTGATAAATGATTTCAGTAAAGTTGCAGGATACAAAATCAACGCACAAAAATCAGTAGTGTTTTTATACTCCAATTATGAACTAGCAGAAAAAGAAATCAAGAAAGCAAGCCCATTTACAATAGTCACCAAAAAAAAAATAAAATATCTAGAAATAAATATAGCCAAGGAAGTGAAAGATCTCTACAATGAGAACTACAAATCACTGCTGAAGGAAATTACATAGGACACAAAAAGATGGAAAGACATTCTATGCTCCTGGATTGGAAGAATCAATATTGTTAAAATATCCATGCTACTCAAAGTGATCTACAGATTCAATGTAATCTCCATCAAAATACCAGTGACATTCTTCACAGAAATAGAAAAAAACATTTCTAACATTCATATGGAGCAACAAAAGACCCCAAATAGCAACCTGAGCAAAAAAATAAAGCCAGCATTACACTACCTCAAATTATAGTACAAAGGTATAGTAACCAAAACAGAATGATATTGGCATAAAAACAGACACTTGGACCAATGAAACAGAATAGAGAACTCAAAAATCAACCCACATATTTACAGCCAACTGATATTTGACAAATGCACCAAGAATATACAATGGGGAAAAGACTGCCTCTTCAATAAATGGTGCTGGGATAACTAGCCATCCATAAGCAGAAGAATGAAACTAGACCAGTACCTCCTGCCATATACAAAATTAAGCAAAAATGGATTAAAGACTTAAATATAAGACATGAAATCACAAAACTACTAAAAGAAAACATAGAGGAAACACATCAGGAAGTAGGACTGGGCATAGACTTTATGAATAAGACCCCAAAAGCACAAGCAATAAATAAAAAATAAACAAATGGGATTATATCAAACTAAGATTCTGCACAGCCAAAGAAACAATTAACAGAGTAAAAAGACAACCTACAGAATGGGAAAAAATATTTGCAAACCAAGCATCAATAAGGTATTAATATCCAGAATATACAAGGAACTCAAACAACTTCACAGTAAAAAAACAAGTAAACCAATTAAAAAATGGGCAAAACAGCTAAATAGGCATTTCTCAAAGGAAGAGATACACATGGCCAACAGACATATGAAAAAATGCTCAACATCACTCGGCATCAAGGAAACACAAATTAAAACCACATTGAGATATCACCTCACCCCAGTTAGACTGACTATTATCAAAAAGACAGAGAATAAGACATGTTGGCAAGGATGAAGACAAAGGGGAACATCCTACACTGTCGGTGGGACTGTAAATTAGTGCAGCCATTATGGAAAACAGTATGGAGGTTCCTCAAACAACTACAGATAGAACTGCCATATGACCCAGCAATCCCATTGCTGGGTATAAACCCAAAGGAATGGAAACTTTCATGTCAAAAGGATATCTGAACTCCCATTTTTATTGCAGCTCTACTTATAATAGCCAAGAGTTGTAACAAACCTAAATGTCCATAAATAGATGACTGAATAAGGAAAATGTGGTATATACACTCAATGGAATACTACTCTGCCATAAACAAGAATAAAATTCTACCATTCACAGCAACATGGATGAACTTAGAGAAAATTATAAGTGAAATAAACCAGGCACAGAAAGAGAAATATTGTGTGTCCTCACTCATAAGTGACAGCTGAAAAATAAACAAATAAATAAATGAAAAGAAAGGAAGATAAAACAATCACAACAATATATTGAACTTTCAACAAGAGAGAACAGAACTGAGGTTACCAGAGGTGGGAAAGGGGATGATAGCGAGAAATTGGTAAAGGGCCACAAAATATGATTACATTGTGTAATGTTGAATATACTAATTGTCCTGATTTGAGCATCACATTGCACAGAGGTATTGACATTCAATGTGGAACCCCATAGATATGTATAATCAATTATGTTTTAATAAAAAAAAAAAAGTGCCTGCATTAGCCATCAGGGAGATGCAAAACAAAACCACAATCAGATACAACTTCACACCCACTGGGATGGCTATAATCAAAAGGTAGATTATAACAAGTCTTAGTGAGGATGTGGAGAAATCGGAACCCTCATACACCACTGGTAGGAATGTAAAATGGTACAGACGGCTGCTGTGGAAAAGTCTAGCAGTTCCTCAAAAGGTCAGAGTTACCAGATGACCCAGCAATTACAGTCCTAGGCATATATAGCCAAGAAAAATGAAAACACACTTCCAGGGCCAGCCCAGTGGCGCACTGCTACAGTTCCTGCCGAGGGTTCAGATCCCACATACAGACCGGCCGCTCACTGGCTGAGCGAGGTGCAGGCGCGACACTGAGGGTTGCGATCCGTTGCCGGTCACGAAAAAAGACAAAAAGGAAAAAAAAAAAAAAACACACTTCCACTCAAAAACATGAACACAAATGTTCACAACAGCTTTATTCATAATAGCCATAGTGGGAAAAATGCAAACGTACACCACCTAATGAATGGAAACAGAATGTGGCATATCTATACAATGGAATAATTTTTGGACATAAGAAATGAAGTACTGATACATGTTACTGCAATATGGATGAACCTTGAAAAATTATGCTAATTGACAGAAGCCAGTCACAAAGGACAACATGTTGTATGATTCCATTTATGTGAAATGTCCAGAATAGGAAAATCTGTAGAAACAGAAATAGATCCATGTTTGCCTAGGGTTGGGAGAGGGGAGGGAGGAAGAATAGAGGGTGAGGTTGGCAACTGAGGGTATGGAGTTTCTTTCTGGAGTGAGAATAATGTCCTTAGATTAATAGTGGTGATGGCTGTACAAACCTATGAACATACTAAAAGCCACTGAATTGTATACTTTAAATGGGTGACTTGTATGGTACGTGATTTATAGCTCAATAAAATTGTTAGAAAAAATTAAAATTAAAAATAAAAAAGCATCCTCTTTTAAAAAAACTTGTATCAGTTTATTGCTCAACCCTCTTAAACTGAAAAAAAAAAAGGCAAAAAATAACTCTAACCAACAGAACTATAAACTGCACCTAAATTTTGCAGTTCATTTGGCAAAACACTTGGGTACCTGTTTGCAGTTTTTCTCATGAAAGTAGATTGTTATGCTAAATATTGGTTTCAGAGATAAATATATGCATATGTGTATCCTTTGGCGAGCACATACACATGTGTCTATGTCTATGTATATGTGTGTACACGCATACACCTAGTACAGTGCCTGGCACACAAGATGTTCAGTAACCAATATGAATGAAAACACACACACACACTCACACACACACACACACACACAGCATATAATGCAACAAATTAGTTCCTACAAGGTTTAATTGAATATAAACAAGTATCTATCAAATGCCACATACAGATAACCTTATTTAAAATAAAAACTTCTATTACTAAAGAGACAGCAAGTTGTTGTAAAAAAGAGTCCTAAGATTCTGGAAACTGGAATTCTGACCCAGCTCTGCTATTAACTACTTCTTTGACTCTGTGAAAGATATTCATTTCTCTGACCCTCAGTTACCTCCTATGCAAAATGGAAGACAAGAACCAGAAAAACTTTTTAGACCTTTCTAGCTGTAAAATTCTATCTCTTCTATATAAATATCATTTCAAGTCAATGTAACCTTGTGAAAGATAGCAGTACAATATTTATAGTGTCAATTTTGAACAGGTTTTCTCTATTACAAGAAAATGAAGATTACTTGGTCATATTTCTTGCTAAGAAATCCTTTCTACAGATCTCCCCCATTCCTGGAAAATGGTTGATCCTCTGGAAAATAAAAAGGTAAATATTAATATTCTCAATAACTCAATGCACTTATTCATTTATACTATAGTACCATTGTATTCATCCACTGGAGTTATATGTTTTAATAAACCGACAATTACTATGTAAAAGATATAAAATTAAATGGCCTCCAATGAATTTGTAGAACTAAAGAATCAATGGTAATCAAAGAATAAAACTGCAAATTTTTAAAGAAATCAGAAGTATTCACAGACAGTAAAGTTGTAATTTTCATTGCTGAATAACTGGTAATTCAATTATTTTTGGCATTCTAGATTTACAATATCATTTACATAAACATTGTAGAAAAACTGGTGAAAATGAACTTTTTTGTTTGTTTGTTCCATATGGTCAATTCTGTATTACTGTACTCTTTAAAAGATGCTATATAAAATTTCAATTGTCTAAAATTCCTTGTATTTGGCTTTATAGTAATCTATTTTCTTCTGAATATAAGTTTGTGTTACATTCCAAAAGTAAAAGAATAAAGCCAGATTACATACAGCTGGCATTATTAAGTATTTGCACATCCTGATCTCCCTATGCAATCTATGCCACATCACTTGTCTTTAAGCATAATTATGCAAAGCACCATCTTAGAAAGAGGTTTTTCTCTATCAATTCTTCCTTAAAGATAGAAAGAAATTAAAAGTTAAGTTTGAAAAGGATGCAGTCTTCATGCAGAGTCAATACAACTGGATAGCAACAAAACAGACTATTCAGGTGAATCAGAACTGAAATTTAATATGTCAACTGATTAAGAACCTATCTAAAGAAAATTATGATGGAATTCATATAACTTTTCTCATACCAATAATAGGTCATGATTAATTTCCCACCTGGTAATTTTGCAGCTCTGCAATCTTGTCCTGCTGAACAGCAGAATCACACCATATAAGGTTACTCGTTTCATCTTCATCTGGAGTTTTCATAAATCCCATTTCATCTATTACTAAACGAACTGCAAGTAAACAGTTAAGTTAAACCAGAATTAAAAGATTTCTAAAATATATTCATTATGGGGACGTTTTCCTATATATAAAAATTTTAGTTCATAGTATTTCATTTCCAAAATATCCATTAATTATAGCATAACCTTATTTTTAGTTATGACAGTTTTATCTAAGACAGAATTATACTCAATAGTACCTGAGAACCATTTTTAGGTTGTATCCAAAATCTTTAGTTTCCAAACTCTCAGATTTAACAGGTACACAAAACTGCCAAAGGGTTTAGTGATTATTTATAGAACAATGAAAACACACACAGCTGAGACAACACCTCTCCTCAGAAAAAAAGTATTTTTATGGTTTTTTTTTGTGACTTTGGGCTAAGTACAAAAGGGCAAAGGTAAAAACAGCTCCTGGTCATTAGACCTATCCTATACTTTCCATCTCCCTAGTCCAAATTATCTTTAGCACTTTAAACCAAGTCATCTAGGTGTACTCAGGATATGGAATAATAAAGCAGAATTCACAGAAGAGACTTGGATATTGGCTCTCCTGTGTTCTCGACCCTCTAATCCTACTGAAAAAGTTTATGCTCAGAAGAAAGCTTCCTTTTTAATACAAACTATTTATGTGTTCCTCTCTGGTCTAGAATTCACAATTAACATTGACATTTTTCTTCCAACAAATTTCAAGTTTAGAATAAAAATAAGCAATTATTTAGTATAATTTTGGGGTCCAACAGAATTGAGTCTTAATCGAATGGTGTATCTATACAACAGTGCTTCAATATATGAGGAGAACTGGTATTGATTGTCTGAATAACTTAGCTCAAGTACAAAACTTATAACCAGGCACCTGTTGGTCTCAAGTCCTAGAGACTCTTGAATTTTTTTGGCCGAGGGATATGAGGAGAACTGGTATTGATTGTCTGAATAACTTAGCTCAAGTACAAAACTTATAACCAGACACCTGTTGGTCTCAAGTCCTAGAGACTCTTGAATTTTTTTGGCCGAGGGAAAAAAAAAGACTTTTATGTAATAGTGCTTGGAATACAGGCATAGAAGAAGAAGACAGTGATTGGGGGTGGATGGGGCAGAGGAGAGGATTGTTGAGTTGAAGTTGCTGTTTCCCATGAGTGCATTGATGAAACTTGGGGTTGCACTGAAGTCCCAGGTGGCAATGTACAAACACAAAAATTGGAAAAAGGGCCATTCCTCTCCTATCTGTCACAGACCACGAAGCAGCTTTGACACCTGAGAGTTCAGCAGTGGCTGTGCCACCTAGAACTTATAGAGGGCAAGGGCAATAGCAACACAGTCAGGCTGACTCTTAACTGGCTCACAGGCAAAAACAAGGACAAAGTCAGAACAGCAGCTCAGGAGAGATGATGTCTGGGGTTTCTTAGAAATAAATGGGAAGACCTTAATGAGAGAAATGGAACTCCTGGCAGTCATGGAGGGAGTATAATGAGCTATTTAAATTTAGATATTCATGTACACACAGACTGGTGACGCTGGGGACATTAGGTTATGTTATGTAAAAATAGTGGAAAAGACCCATTCTTTCTTTACATTCACGAAACCAAATTTGTAAGGTCAGTCATATATAAATTTCTTTTATTATGAAATTCAAAGCTCATACAGTTGACAAAGTTGAACTTCAAAGAAAAATACCAATGTCGTACTTTTTTTCAGCTAAGCTATTTAATCTTATTTTTGTTTGAACTGAAATCTTAGAAATCTATTGGCATCTTTTTCAAACTATCATCCTCCACTGCATAGAACAGAATCCCTCTAACATGTCAGCAATATTACAGAAGGCATTTAAAATTCACTACATAAAAGATAAGTTATCGCTCTGAATTTCTGAATTATTTTCAACACCAAACCAGTTTTTTTCAACAATTATAAAAACCCCATGATTCTGAGGAGACCTACCAATTTCAAACTTTGTCCCGGCAACATTTGCTGTAATGGTTCCCTTCTTTTTCTTCTTTCTGACTTTCCTTTTCATTGTGCTTTGAAAAGGTAATTCTGTATTCAGATCCAGGGAAGAGGGTCCCTGCAGCACTTTAAAAGAATTATAAAACAACCAAATATCACTGAAATAACAAAAAGTTCATACCAGAGATCACAAATGCCCCTCTAAACAAGGTAAAATTATAAATTCTGGTAGTTTAAAAGTCCCCAAGTAATTTTTAATACTTTTATAAAATGAGCAACAATGATCTATAACACATCCATATTTTGTAACATTGTTAAAGCCAATCTGCTTACCTCCTTCCTGAGGCAGAGATGGCATTATTGCCAATGCCAGTTAGTAAGCACTGTGTGCCGCTGTACTAAGCTCTCAGGAAATCTGGAAGTCTCACATAAGTCTAAGTAGGATATGGCCCGAAATCACGGAGAGTCCCTATCATATTATCTTGGTGGAATTCTCAGATTTCAGGACACTGACGTTTCGGGATAAGAAGGCACCTGTAGGGATTTTTAAACAAAGTCATTTAGAAAACAACTTTTGTGAACTTTTTTTTTTTAACCTATGCCAGTACTGTCCTTTTTAAGTCAACTACAAGCAAAAGTTAATATGTCCAATGAGCAGATATTTCTTAATCAATTTATTACACCTAATGCAAAATGCCATGTGATGGTTCCCTGTCCTGAAATAGTACATAATCCTACTAGAGGAGGTTTTATTAAGTCATGTATCAAATTTACATACAATAAATAACATACCATACACAAACAATCAACAACAACAATATTCACTACCAAGTATTGAACACTTATTATCTTAGGCATTTATATTATACCACTTAATCTTTCAACAAACCAGTTAGATAGAAGCTTTTATCCCCATCTTACAGGTAAGTAAAAATAATTTTTTCTATCTTTATAAAGAAAGTAAGTGCCAAATTGGCGATTAAACTGAAGATCCTTCTGATGTCAAACACAGTGTCCCTTCACCAGGAACCTGTACAACCTTCAACCCAATGCCTGAAACATAACTGCAGCATTCCTTTTAATGTGAGACAGTAAAATAAGTGCCAGGGTAGAGATCACATGTTGAAAGAATGCAGAGAGAGAAGTGATTGCTTTTTAACAAGGTAGGAGGGAACAGCTTCATAAAGGAGACCATATTTGAATTGTGTTTTAAAAAATAAGAAAGAACAATTTTGAAAGGCAGAAAACGGGAGAGGCTGTTACTATGATGATCTCACTTGAGCACACAGAGGAATGAAATAAACATTTTTTAATGAATGAACTAATAATTTGGCTACATTTCAACATGATCTATAGTACACTTTTCTTATATTTTCATTGTATACGTGATGTAGGTATCTTTCATTGTAGATATCTAGGTATCTATGCCCTGATTATACTATACTATTGGCCCAATCTACACTATCAACTTTCTCATTTCTCCCTTGATATTGTAAGAATCTTTGAGTACTTGTAAAATATCTAAACACAACGAAAAACTGAAAAACCTATAAACAAAGATATGATAAACAAAGGCATACTATCAATACCTTTATCAGGATATTATCAGAAAGTTTATAAGAAATTCAGCTACATATAATGTGACTCATACTCATATATAACACCCCCCATATTCATTATTAATAAGATTCATTATTAAAGAAAATTTAGAGCTTTCTTTGTTCTCATGTATTATTTTTACCAGAATAATTCTGTGTTATAATTCAATATCTAAACTAGGGAACTACTATTTATTAACAGACCAACTGTTGGCAGGTGCTGTGTTAAGCATTTAAAATATTTTGTCTCACTAGCGAACCCTGAACTTAAGTATTATTGCTCCCCATCTTCCATATATATAGAAACTAAGACTAGATAATGAAATAAATCAAGGTAACAGTTTAGGAGTAGAAAACCTAGACTTTGAACCCAATTCTGTCTGATTATATATTCTATTAATTGAGATGCACTATTTTCAGATACCATTATAACATGACAATATTGACATACAAGAAGTTTGCAATCCTACTGCAGTACTTACTGCAAGATATGGCTGTATTCTGGGAATTCACAGTACTTCAAACCAAACACTGAAATCACCGTAAACATATCTAAACTTTTCTCAGCTCCAAATTCCAAGCTGAAAACGCACTAGATCACTCCTCAGAATAAAAGAAAGGAAGAGCATAAAGTTCAGTTCCATTTCTTTCTAGAGGCTCTCTGATACCTCAGGGAGGTAACTGTTTGAGTTTACAAGTTATTGTCCAACATCTTGTTACTGGAGTAAACAAAAGCTCCCTTTACAGTAACAGTACTCATTATATTAAAAGTAGGTGACAAAGTCAAACAGAGTTTGAGAACAATGTTTGCCTAACTATACTAGGCTCTGAAAAGCAAATTTCTTAATTTCTGACTTAAATAATGAGCCAAACAACCTTGATTTGTATAGAGTTGAAAGTAAGAATTTTTATTCCTTCCCTCATCCGCATGAGAATTTAAAGTCCTTAAAATTATTCCACACATATGCTTTACTTAATTCCATTATGGTTTGGAGAAAAGGCTTTTTAACAAACTTGAGGACTTCACTGTACCATCCCAATTCTAAGTATTTCACTTGATGCTAAGCAAGAGATTTTATATGAAGGATTTATCACATCACTCAGTTGAGCCATAGTTACCTACCTTCCAAAAGCAGAAGGCATGTTTCAGTTACCTCCGAAATACTTTAAGACAATGATTTCTCAAGCTTAGCTGCAAAGTAAAGTCAGTAAGGAGCTTTGAAAATCCTGGTACCCAGGCTGCACCTCAGAACCAGGTGGAGCCCAGCAATCAGCATTGTTAAAGGTCTTCAAGTGATTACAGGGTGCAACTAAGGTTGAGAACCTCTACTGTAAGCACATATGACATTGAAGTTAATAATAATGATTAATTACAACACACACATAAAATTATAAGAAAAAAGTAAAATGAAGAAGAAAACTTATAACTGTTTTTAAAAAGAACAAGCCAAATAATTGGTACAAATCATCTGTGAAAATCCTCATGTCTAGGTCAACTAAACAAATTGAAAAAGGAGAATTAGAAGATCAGCAAAGACTGATTTATAAAAGAAACAAATAGCTCATTTTCAAAAGAAACCAATTTTCTAAAATTTCAAACAGATAGTAACCTTGAACATACAACTTCCAAGTGCCAACAGATATACAAGATTGAAACAAAATCAAAATCATTCCAATAATTTTGTGCTATATTCTTTATGCTTTCTTCCCAGTTATTCCTGTTGAGGTTTTACCAATCACCTATAATTAGATAAATTGCCACTGTTTCCTCCAAGCTTCCTCTAATCATGTCGAAGAAATTCATTTCTCCCTCTTCTGGTCTGTCATAGAGATCTTTATCTGTACCCCTATCATAACCACTAGCCAAGAAAGTAAGCTTCCTGAAGAAGGTGGTTTTCTTCTATCTTGCTCACTCCTCCATTCCCAGAGCCTAGAATAGTCCCTGGCACAGTGTTCAATGAGCACATGTTAATCAGTGCTATTGTTTGAATGTTTGTGTCCTCTCCAAAATTCCTGTTGAAATTTAATCCCCAATGCAATAGTATTAAGAGGTGGGGTCTTTAGGAAGTTATACGATCATTAGATCTCCTCCCTAGTAAATTGGATTAAAGCCCTTAAAAAGAGGCTTTGAATGGCATTTGGCCCTTGTGCCTTTCCATCCCTTCTGCTATGTGAGGACTCAGCGTTCTCCCGTCCAGAACATCAACAAGGTGCCATCTTAGAAACAGAGAATGCAGCCCTTACTGGACTTTAGATCCTTTATGTTGGACTTCCCAGCCTTCAGAACTATGAGAAATAAGTTTCAATCATTTATAAATTACCAAATCTATGGAATTTTGTTATAGCAGCACATACGGACTAAGACAATGAGTGAGTAAATCAACTAATTAATGACATCTGGGAGTAAGGACAGATGATTGTGGAGACCTGAGAAGCAAATATATATCATATATAATCCATTACTTTCATATTTTTAAGTGAAAAAAGCAAAATACATAAAACTTTATATATTATACCACCACTTGGGTAAACCAACAGAAGAATATATGGAATATATGCACAGAGCAGTGGTGGCCTGCTGTGGCTAGGGGGAATGGCTATAAGGGGGGAAAGAATGTATGTATTCTTTTTAGTACTCTGTGCATTTATTGCCTATTCAAAAAAGTAAAATATATGTGATAAAAGTTTGTGTCAACATTATCATGTTGATAATTAAAACCATCAAGTTTTGTATTTAATTTAGGTGAAAATAATTTCATTTCATTAAGATGAAAGTATAATATGGTAAAAAGAGCATTGAACAGCATGTCAAGTAGAATTTCTATCCTTTACTTTACCACATAGCAGATATATGACTAAATTCTTAGGATGCAAAAGGAAGGAATTAATACTTTCCAGCCCTAAAGTCTAAAATGTCAACCAACGAAGTTAACATTGTTGATATTTTTGATGACAAGATGAAGACAAAACATCTTTTTATGTAAAAGAAGGAAACACACAGGAAATTCAGAGTTTCTCCCAACAACCCCCCAAAATATATGCCCCAGTAAATATATGAGTTCATTGAACAATTTCATGAATTTTTAGCTTACCCATAGATGACTAAAATAATCTAACAAAAGGTCAATGGGAAACAAAAATAGGACTAAGTTGAAAACATGTAAAGTAATGTTAAATAACATAAAAAGAGCTGCTTTTATGGTGAGTAAGGGAAGCAGAAGGGAATCAATACAAACCAGTACCTACAGTGTGCTAAGCACTTTCACATAACTTTGTGTTTATTTAGTCCACCCAACAAATGCCCAGTACCTTTTATTATAATTTTATATATGTGAACATTTAGGCTCTCTCTTAGCTTTATGTTGCTAATTACAAAATACCTGAAGCTGGGTAATTTATAAAGAAATAAAATTAATTTCACACAGTTATGAAGGATGAGAAATCCAAGGTGAGAAAGTGCATCTGGTGAGGGCTTTCTTCCTGGTAAGGACTCTGCAGAGTCCCAAGGCAGTGCAGGGCATCACATGGTGAGAGGGCAAAAGCATGTTAACATGCTCTCTTCCTCTTCTTATAAAGCCCCCAGTCTACCACAATCAGGCAAGTAGCACAATGAAAACACCACTTCCATGTGGGTGGACCACCCAGCCACCACCACACCAACAGCTCCTGTAAAAGCAGCAGACACCACAGCAGTAGCCACAGATACCATGCAGGTGGCCCAATAGACACTCATCTACACTGACACAAGGAGATTCACCAGCGGGTACTGCAAAAAGAACAGGACACATCTCTCCTCAAAGCCCACTTCAGAGTATTGGAAGAAGCAACTGCTCTACCAATGACCAGACGTCAATGTAAGGATACTCGAAATATGAAAACCAAGAAAACATGACACCACAAAAGCAGACAATTCTCAAATACCAGACCCTACTGAGTAAG